AAAAAACAAAAAAAAAAAAAAAAAAAAAAAAAGACATAATTGAGCTTACAAAACAGCTCAATTATTGTTTTTGTTTACTTTTATGAGTAGCACAAATTGTGAGAAGTATCCTCATAGCCTAGAAGCAAGCATACTGGGGAGGGGACTTAGAGCCTTTACCTACTGCATTAGTTTGCTAGGGCTGCCATACCAAAGCAACACAGACTGGGTGGGTTAATCAACAGAAATTTAATTTTTCACAGTTTTGGAGGCTAGAAGACTGAGATCAAGATATCAGTAGGTTGGTTTCTTCTGAAGCCTCTCCCTGACTTATAGATGATCGATTTCTCCCTGTGTCTTCACATGGTTTTTCTTCTGTGTGTTTGTATCCCAATCTCCTATTCTTATCAGGTCACTAGTCATACAGGATTAAAGCCCTCCCTAATGACCACATTTAGCTTTAATCACCTCTTTAAAGACCCTTTCTCCAAATACAGTCATGTTGTGAGGAAGTGGGTGTTAGGACTTCAACATATGAATTGGGGGTGTACAGTTCAGCCCATGACATCTACCAATGTTCAATATTTGCCAAGGGATTAAAAGTCTAATAATGCAAACAACTGAATTGGTGTAGGTCTTTTTGCAACAGACATTTCAATGAAGAATGCCTACTTTTCTATTCCCTTCTTTGCCTTCTTTCTCTGTATTTTTACAGCTGTTATAATTTTTAATGTTTTTCTTTGTTGGCAATAATGACATATCTCTGGGTGCAATTTTTCGATCACTATATCAAGAACTTGTCCAAAGCCAGAGACCATGTAAGGTACTGCCTTTATACCTCTCTCCCAGCACCAACTCCCAAGCTGTCTCCTGTGGGTGTTTAGTATTAGAGAAGCAAATCTGTGAATCATAAAACTGAAAAGCAAAGGATGATAATGGTGGTGGCATTTGTTTCTTTCATGATTTCTAACAGCTCTAGGACTTAAGAAAAATAACATGTTAGGAATATGCAGATCATCTTAACAAAGAGTATTCTTTTTCAGCTAGCCTTTCTTCCCCTATAGCCTTTAGAATATATATGCTAATGAATAGGCATATGAGTAGAGGAGCTTTCTGGCAGAAAAAATGAAGTGGGTAATCAGGTACATTTCTGGAGTTTAATTTTTATACTTTATTAAACTAGCCCAGATAGGTCTCAATAATTGCACATGAACTGTAACAAAGAAAAGTATTAGGCAACTTCATCTCAGAGGTGTCTGAAGGAGGTTCATGTATTAGGAGATTGTGGTTTACAGAGACAACCTTGGTGATCTGGAGCATTTAATGTGTTCAATGTTTAATTCTCTTTAGGCTTTTTTTTTTCTTTTTCTGACACAATAATAAAGGAAAAATTTAATCATGGTTCTCTGGATTTTCAACACATTCATATATAGGAAAATGTTGTAATTTTATAATTCAAGTAATATATTTCATTTTCAGAGATATCATAAGCCATCATATCTTTCAGAATGTCCATTTGGTAGCCAAGTGGCTAGGAATGTTGGAGAAACTCCTAGAAAGATTCGGCCAAGGCAGCCACCAAGATTACAGGGTTTTCATGAGTGCTGAGACTGCACCTACACCAAGCGAACATATCATCCCTCAAGGACTCCTGGAAAATTCCATTAAGATCACTAATGAACCCCCCACAGGAATGCTGGCCAATTTGCACGCTGCCCTCGACAACTTTGACCAGGTAAGAAAGCAGAAGCAGCCTGACCTGACAGCAGTCAGGTCTTCTCACAAGACTGTGGGCACCAGCTTCAACTCATGCGTCTTCTGCAGAAGGATAACATGAAATCTCAGTGTTCATTTGTGTATGTTTGTGTGTCTTTTAATCTCATGAAAGAATTGCCCTGTCATTCCTTCTTCTAAGGACTAGGAAATATATTTAAATTTCACTCTAAAACTCAGAAAGCTATAGCCACATGTTTAGGGAGAACAAACTAGGTAACTTTTTGAGAAACCTGCTTCTCGAAGACAAATGTGGTAGACTAGTATCTCTTATCACAGAAAGAGGAGAAGTCATGTCATTCTTGTTGGTGTTGACAACAATGACAATAATGACATGGAAAGAGTTTCAGTATAATATTTGAGATCTGGTTTTAATATGAATAAATTTAAAGTTCCTCTTTTCAGGTTATATCCATGATGACATTTACATTTTCATTTCCTTCTAAAATAAGGCAAATAAATTTATATATGTATATATAAATGATACCTCCATTACCATTATTCTCCTTACCTAAATTTTTGTATCTGTCTGTATCATAATCAAGCTTTTCAGTTTCCTTTGTTGCTGTTGCTCTGAGTTCCTATTCCTTGGTCTAATTTCTTAGAAATCCTTGCTAAATAGCACTCTTGTTAGGAAAAGTAGAATGTGTCCTAAAGAGGAAATGCAGGGCCGGCCCGGTGGCGCACTGTAGCAGTGCGCCGCTTGGGAAGCGCGGCGGCATTCCCGCCGAGGGTTCGGATCCCACGTACAGACCGGCCACTCACTGGCTGAGCAAGGTGCGGGAGCAACACCGAGGGTTGCGATCCCGTTGCCGGTCCTGGTCCGGTACGGTACGGG